CTTATCTATTTTAAAAGCAGACACACCAAACATGTTACATATGAAAGGAATTTATTGTGTCCAATATAAAAAATAAATGTTTCACCAGTTCAAAAAAAAAAAATCCACACTGTCACAGTGGAAGGACTAAAACACATTTTAACTTCCACTTCACATGGAGAAAAAAACTGATTCTATATTTTACACTACATCAGAAAATGGCATCACTAAACATCTCAATCTTATATTTGTATCAGTATTAGATAGCTTTAGCGCATCTATGATCCTTTAGGTTAAACTAAAGATAAGCCTAGGGAACCCTTACATTTTCAAATGACTTTTTGCAGATGGTATAAAATGAATAAATAAATAAATAGCCACTGAATGTGGAATGTTTGTATTGCATGAATAAATAAGATACATGGAAGTTAATGTACATAAATACAATACAAATTCTTGTATTTAAAAATAAAAAAAAGTTCAAAAAATTGAAATAAGAAAAAGATAAGTGAGTCCATGAATATTGCATTGATTGTGCACATCACTCAATCTCTGCCAAGCAAAGTCTAAAAAGTGACGTCAACAGAGATGTAGTGGAAGACATTCAGAAAACAACAAAAGAAGGGAAAACCATCTAAATAGTGTATATGAATGGCAGAGCAGCAGAGAGAGTGTTAATAGAGTAGTAAGTGTGTACTTCAAGTATTCGACCACTAGAGGGCAAGGGAGACCCACCACATAACTAGATACAGTCTTTGAAGGTTCCCATGAATCCAGGGGAGTTCCCCTAAAATCCATGAAAATCCACCTGGCGTCTGTCGTGACTTGAATCCCATAAAAGCAGCTTTCCAAAAAAGGCACCGAAAACTAAAAAGATAGTCTAAAAGGAAAATAATGTCCAAGCTCTATAAGAGCAACCAGTAAGATCAAAGGATCACAAGCATCACTGCTCAAGCAATCCCTACGGGTAACAACACCCTTAGCAAGAAGGAGAAAAAAAAAAAAAAAAAAGACATTTATGTAACATAAATCGAAGTCCTGATAACCAACAGACTGGGAACAAGGGCAAAAAGGTCTCAGAGTCAGTTCACTCGGTGTCCCCGCATCCGTCAAAGGCCTTCTTTGCCCGATTCTGTGCTGATAGAGTGAAGTGTGATGTCGACGCTTTCTGCTTTCGGGCTTTCCTCAGTCCGCATCCACTGATGCTCAAAGATCTGCTCCAAAGTGGGCCGATCTGAAGGTCTTAAGCAGAGGCACCATTTGATGAGCTGCTGGCACACTGATGGACAGAAAAAAAAAGCATCAAGGTTAATCTTCTCCTCTACAAAAGGGTTTAAAACGGAAAGATCAGACTGTTTAGAACATACCCGGAGAGATTCTTCTTCTGAAAAAGAGCCGTCCTCTCAGGATCTCCTCGTCGTGCTCAAACGGGATGTCGCCGCACACCATGTCGTACAGTAGGACGCCAAGGGACCACACGGTTGCCGAGCGTCCATGGTACCTGTGGTAACGAATCCACTCTGGGGGCTGTACACTCGCGTGCCTACAAAAACAAAACGTTTTCAATTCTGTGTGGATGGAGATTTCATTCTGGCTCATTTCATAATCACTCTTTTTGGCGTAAAAAGCACCGATTTTGATTACACTGCAGCACTGTATAATGAGCCGCTCTAGTCAGCTGACTCTAGCAAAGGGGGCGCCAGCGGTCTGGCGTTTACACAAACGCTCCTCCCTCCTCCAGTCTCACTGTGAGCCTAGAGAACAGCTCGTTCCAAAACTACAAGCAAGCTGAAACAGGAGGGGGATCTAAAAAGGACGCTTTCAGGTACAAACAATCACAAGCTATGGCAACTCCCCGTGCTTTCAGCGTGAGTCACTTTCCCCAACAAAAGCACCTTCACTAGGGGTTGGTGACAGGCCCCCAAAGACCAGGAGTCGCTTGGATACCAAACAAAAACAGGGATACATGAAGAGATCACGTGGTCCCGCAACTCAGGTTTCACAACAAACATATGCTACGCAGTAACAGCTGATCCCACTAACTTATCTCAGATTTATCATTTTAACCTATTTTCAATTATTTCACAGGGCAAACAAAATAGTTTAAATAAATTATTCCTTCAAGCAACATTAAAACAAATGTACAGATGTTAAGGTCATAAATCAACAAAACATGTTCTCTATACAAACATACACATCTGTACATGTTATTTTTCTAAATAAGCGTTCTCAGAGTTGTAAAAATATTAAAAGTGGAAGGTCATAATTTCACTTTTCAATCAAAATATTTTTAGGAAATCAATTTAAAAAAAAAAAAAAGAAAGTTTGATGGTTTTAGTAGGTTTAGGATAATCTGAAGAGGGTTTGGTTCTTCCAGTCTAGCAGACCAGTGCCTAAAAAAACCTTAGGCTGGGAAATCAGATAAAACCAAATCCTTTTTTTCCAACAGGGGGCGAAACACTCAAAGTACTTATCTTTAAACCTAATGCTGACTATTAAGTGAAATCATCATTATTATTATTATCCAGCATTTAACACTAAGCGTGACAGGTGGAAAGAAGGATGGGTGAGAGTCAAGGACGCACCATCAAAGTCTGTGTAGACGGTGTCCTTGAGGATGGCCCCAGAGCCGAAGTCAATGAGCTTCAGATCTCCCGTGCGTAAATCCACCAGGAGGTTCTCGTCTTTGATATCGCGGTGAACCACCCCGCAGCTGTAGCAGTGCCGAACCGCCTCCAAAACCTGCCTGAAGAAGCCCCGGGCGGTGTCCTCACCAAGCGCGCCCTTCTCCGTGATGTAGTCGAATAAATCTTTCACCATCTCCGGCCTCTCCATTATAATCAACCAGCCGTCGGGTCTCTCATACCAATCTATGAGTTTAATGATCCCCTGAAACGTACTCCCCACTTTCTTCAACAAAACGATCTCGAGTGGAACCAGCGACCCATTCTGGAATAGAAATGCGCGTGTATTAGAAACAACCCAATTGATAATAGTAAAAAAAAAAAAATCAAAATAAATCAAATGCTAGTTACTTACAATCGTAGCCCATTCGGTCACTCTCTCCTTAGAAACGTGTTTTATCGCAACCTAGAGACAAAAAGAGAAAACGCACATATGAATGCGTGACTGTGGCGCCAAACGCGGCCATGTGCTGCCACCAAAACAAAGCCAACGCGTACCGGCAATGAGTCTGAGATCCGAGTACCGGCGTACACAGTCCCAAACCCGCCGCTTCCCAGCACCGAACCCACATGATACACCTTCTCAAACGGCTCTCTTTCGGTCTTGGCTGTAAATGAAAGTGAGAAGACGGCGTTAATGTAACAATGTGATTTAAACCGCGTGTGTTTAACGCACGGTTGGCAACAAAATGGCTCCATACTCGGGTCACGGACAGGCGCGTGCCGATTAAGCATTTAGGAACGGCGCGCGTGGAAAATTAGGAGCAAATAACTGATTAAAGACCCACTATTAAGGTCAAAATGAAAACACGATAGCTATAACGTTATATTGTTATGACATTGAGATGAGACCGACACCTACCTGCTTGAAGTTGAATTTTCACCGGTAAGTGGTCGATGTTGGTTGTGTTGCAAATATGGGAAAAAGATCCAAACTTGGAAAGTAACATTTTTCGTTGTCTTCTTAAAACGATTCTTAGTCCTTAGGATGCGTAACCGTGCTTAGGACCGGGAAACACCGGCACTCGGTCCTTCACAGTAAAGACCGAATTCCCTACAAAAAAATGTATTTAGTAGTGGGACTCCGCTGGAAAATCCCACAAATGCTCGCAAAACGATTCCGACTCCTCTTCTGCAAAGGTGTCAAACTCCGGTAATTATTCACAAATGTCCCTACGCACCCATAGTGAGAGAGAACTGCACACGTTTGCGCTTTTGAGTCTGGTCGGCGCGCGCTCACTCAGTTGATGTGTGTCTGTGTGTGAGAGCGAGCGGGGAGACCGTATTAACTCTTAATTCTCGTGTTTGGGCGCTGCACGGATCCTTCCGCCACGGATAGACTCAATACGCTCAAATTAAAAACAAACACATTCATCAAAAAATCTTTAGCGTTCCAAAAGGGGAAAACAATACTAATGGGCAAAACCGAGAAAGATAATATAAATGTATGACAATTCATCAGCAGTAAATGGATAGTGTGCTGGTAAATAGTGCGCGGCGCGGGTATCTCGTCTGAGAGCTTTGCGCTTGGGCTATATAAAAGACCAACCACGTTGCACAGTTTATATAATTGCATAGTGACTAATTGGAGTAATATTGCTGGGTTGTGCCTATGAAATAATAATAATAATTTTTAATAGTATGATAATGATGTGTGTTAGCAACAAATTACCTTTTATAAATAATAAGAACAATAATGAATATTAAAGCACTGTAAAAATTGTATGATCAATATGTGTGTTTACATTGCTTTAACAATTTTCAACTTTTTTTACAAGTTATACAAGATTTTACTAATTTTTAAGTTAGTTTAATGTGAGTTGTTGAAATGACTTTAATATCCAAGTTGGTTGTACTTAAATTGAAGGTATGGCAACTTTTTACAGCGATCCATCCATCCATCCATCCATCCATATATCTATCTATCTATCTATATACAGTATATATATCCTTGTGAAACCCTGAGTGTGTGTGTAAATGATCCAATCAACTTGAATTCACATGTACTGTATGTCCCTGTTAATTTGTATATAGGCCTAGCACACTTGTACATTTGTCTGTTTTATCTGTTTTTTATTTTATTTTACTATACGTGTTTACTGTTGTTGTCTCATATGCAAGGAGTCATATTAAGCTGCACATTATTGCTATAAGCATCTGGTGGGGTCATTGAAAGCCACAAACTTGTCATATTTCTCAAATATTTTTAGTTCTATTATTTGTAAGTGATCATGTAGGCTAGTGTAAGATGATGAAGTAGCATTCAATGGATAAAGAGTGCAAGATTATATGAGGGTCTGTATAAAATAATCGGTTAGATCCTTACATCAAGCATATGACTGAAGCTTTTCAGATTTATTTTCTGGGATTATCTCTTTGTCCAGATCAATCCTCATCATCTTGCTCATCTAAGGGGGTAATTTAAAAAGAGACTGATGGAACTACGCAGACAGGATGTCTCAAAGACAGAGAGACAAGGTAAACAGTGATCCCCTGCTGCATTTGAGGATGAACTTCGTTATGAAAATTCATATGATAAGACATGCTCTGCAAACAGCTGTGCACCCAGACCCATTAGACTGCAGTCAAAAATTGCAGTCAAATCGATGCTTAGCCTTTACATAAACGTCTGATAAATAATAGCAATATCTCAGACCAAGATGAATAAAACGTGCAATTACACAGAACTTCTGACTGCACTTTATGTAAAGTGCTACAAATGGTTTCTGAGAATAAAACGTAACGAGCCATAATTGAACATCTGAATTTGCGACATTCGTTCTCTTATTACATGTCATTCTTTTCCTACAGCCTACCTTCCCAGAAAAAAAGGAGCATATCCTCACTTTCATCTCATGCCAGATTCATTAGGTCATGCCTTAGAAGGACATCAAGGCTTTGGGGAGCTTTTATGAGACACACTGGAGCAATCAGGAGGGAAATCCATCAAGGTTTTCAGCAGTTACCTTATGTAAGGCCAAAGTACACGTGTCCAAGTGAACAAAAAGCTTCTATAGACCCCCAATGTGTGATTTAGTTGGCGAGTATACATTCACACTCGATTATTCCTGTTATAGTAAATTCAATGTAAAGTAAACATGGCAAATTTCCCAACCACACTGGACTATTGTTAGCCGCTGTTCTGTCATAATGACCTCTGTCTGATGTATTCCCAAAGAAAATGTGATAACCTGTAGCAAAAGTGGCTTTATGGAGCTTTACACGTCTAATCGGACTGATCACAAAGACCCCCACTGTTTCCGCTGACAAGAGGGGCTTTAGTCCGCAGTTCCGAATCCTCTTCAGAGGTGAACTGGAGGGCAGGGTTAGACAATCACTTACATTTTCACTGGCCTGAAACATATGGTCCATAAGAAAAATATAATCACTTACTTATGAAATATGCTCCTTACACAAACCATGCTATCCTTGACTTGTTCAAAATCTGAAAATACACTATTTACATATTTTACGTTTGTATTGTATGACAATCTGTTTATTATATTTTCAGGTACTTTTTATTATAGAATATATGTATTTTCAAACATGCAAACATTGATTCAATTAATTATTGAAATTAAACAAAAGTAATGACGTTCATGGCAGCTTGTTTCCACCACAAAATAAATAATAAATAAAAATGTAAAAATAAGTAAGGTGATTGCTACTTTTATTTCACAATTATGACTTTTTTCTTACAATTGCGAGTTTATATCACAGACGTCTGGTGGATATTTAAGAAAAAAAGTGCGCACGCGTGGTCAAAAGTATGTTTATTAATTATTAGGGAAACGACGGATGGCAGTTGATCCGTGATCCGTACGGGCCAGGTTCCACGTTTCGGCATGCATGTGATTTGTGGATTAACTGCTCAGTTTAACCATCATAGAGTGAAAGTTCATCATTTGGATGTTTTGTCTTGCCAATTTACACATTCAAATGATTTTAAACACGGAAGAAGAGGCGATATTCAGAACTTGTGCGCTGTTATCTGTGTGCGCGCAGAGAGATAGAGAGGTGCGTTTCAGGCTCGAACACCTAATTGATTCCTCTTTCACGTTAACTTGCGCTTGAACGGACACATAAACATAAAATGACGTCAAAATACCCATCTCGGGCAAGTATTCCCTTGTTATGTCATAAGTGAACAGTTGTGTCAGTATATGCATGTGGTCTCAAAGTGACAGCAGCCTAATGTTCCCGTTGTTGTCTGTGACTTTAATATTAATAAAATAAAATAAAAACATGATCATTCTCATCTACCATGTTGGAGGAGAATATAAACTTGCAATTCTGAGAAAAAGTCAGTCTTTTGCAAGAAAAAAAAGCCTGTGGTTCTGTGGTTCAGCAATTATATATCTCGTTTATACAACAGAGTTTCTGTGACTGTCCAAAGCACGTGAATATGAGGCACGCTATTGGTTGTAACATACGTAGCATTCTAACATCACATCGTTTTACTTTCCTTTACACAGGGTTAAAAGCAGTGTTTAGAACGATGATAACCTGGGGTTAAACGCAGTATAATTAGGCTAAACCTAATAATTGAAATTAAAATGAATGACATCCTCTCTAAAATGTTCAATTTAATTTGAAATATGTACAATATATAATAAATAGATACATTATTCTATAAATGTTATTTACAGAAACTATCTGTCAATTGTTTAAATTATAATTCAATTAATGATGCAAATGAACTTTAAGTATTAATATTAATTCAAATTATGACATGTAGCATCTCAAAAATGTATTACTTTCCCAAATACTTTTGAATATATCATTTTAAAATGTCTATTGCGGGACAAAATGCTGTCTATTAAAAAGTGCAAGTGTGTCAGTGCATTAACATATGGCAATTATGAATCAAATTAATCAGATAATGGCATGCAGCGTATTTTTTGTTAAACAAAGCCCCCTAATGATAATAATCATTTTTGTCTGTTCATAATTTGTAGATTTTGCTGACCAGAACAACAACTCAAGGAACTGATTTTATTCGATTTTTTTTCAACATTTGAAAAGGAGAAATCAGGCTCAGATGAGCTGGCAGCATTAAATTAGGGTTTTTAATCTCCATGGATTAGAGAGTTCTAGTAAAAACGGTCTAATCAGATGACATATGGGTGGGAAGCGTAGGATAACAAATAGACAATATGCTAGAGTGCAGCATTACGGCGTATTACACCTAAAGCATAAATGTAATTAAACCCTAGAGGGTCAGCCTATACTTCCTTATGGCAAATCAGAGGTCAGCACAAGTTCAGATAGCTTTCTGCGAATACATTCTGGTTTCTACCAAATTCGGGCATTGTTTTTTTAAGTAAGAGTGCATCATCCATAAAAGATCACTGCCAGTTGGCAAACACAGCACAAGCAAAATGCAAATGGTGTCACTTGGACCTTGAAACATGTTGAGCTGTGACTTTTCACTTCCAAATAGCTGTTTTAAAAATGTTTCAGATGGTTATGCCAGTAATTTTCAGGGAACAATATTTGCAAGTTCTAGATGGTTGATGGTATTAGTCCTTGTTGTGCTACCAGAGTGAAGAGGAGATCTTGAAAATGGATCAGAGGATGAACGGAGCACACAACTCGTTGCTGGCAGAGCATGAGTATTCAGGTAGTGGATGACTGGCAAACCTACAGGAACACGTGGAGAGATCACAAGGAGTATAGAGGATTCACAAGGAGAATCATAGGGTGAGTAGTTTGTTGTCCATTGGTGAGAACAAACAATGACTGAGCATGCTTTTATGCAGTGATGATCAGTATCACAAGTGATGACCAGTATTCAGGATGCATCCGAAATTGCAAACTTCCCTACTATATAGTAAGTGGAAAAAAAAGTATGTGACAAAATAAGTATTCAGTACTCATAAAAGAGTAGAAAAAAGTACCCAGATGACCTACTACTTCTGTTGAGATTCTATAGTGTCCATGAGGCTGAGACTGTAACTGACGCTGGTTGGTCACATGATAATGACAACATGGCGAATGTAGTTAGTCCAGATTACGTTCATCCTTCACACATAGAACATACTTTTTTAGTGGTCGTGAAGTAATTACTTATTCGAAATAAAAAGAGAGTATGCGATTTGGGACGCAGAGCGTTGGATTTGTGTGACATTGGAGCCTGGTGTCACCTAATTAAAAAAGGTTGTGGTGGTTGTGGAAAAGAGCAGCGTGAACGTTGTTCAAAAAGTCTTCGTTTGTGTCCCACACAACATGGACATGAGGGTGAGAAATGATGAAAGCATTTTCATTTTTTGGGTGAACCGTCCCTTTAAGATCTTCTTTGTAAGGTCCCTGCTGTTTTAACAATGCCATGTAGGTTACATCAACCCACTGTAATGGTGAAATCTGTCGAGTCATGATTGTTTCCTGTCCAGTGTCTGCAGGTGTTTGCCCAGAAATAAGAAGCAGTTGTGTTTCTTGTGGTTGTCATGTAAAGAGAGAGTTTATCACCCAGCCATCTTCTCTCGGCACCTGCAAAGAGTTAGGACATCAAAGCCTTCGCCTGCACGCAAGCATCCCGGAGCCCCGCCCCCAGCCTCAGCCGCTGCTCCTCATGTTATTGTTTTGACTGAGGGCGGTAGTCACATGACCCTGCAGTGTTATGACTGGGGGCTGTGGAATGTAGGTCACACCGAGCTCTCCCAAAAGAAAGCTCAGTCCGCTCTTATAACACTGAGCCCAGTTTCTTTTATCTCCTTCATCAGAAGGATGGATCTATATGCTTGTATATCACATGAAATGAGCACAGAAAAGAGGAAAAATGCATTGGATGCCATTTCTGAGAGGGGATTTTTTTTTTATGAAAAATGATCTATCCATGCATATTATTAACTTTAAATTCATTTCAATCTTGATTGAAAAAAAAAAAAACACTCCTCTTTCAGCGTCATATCTTCTCTGATGACGTGTTTACTGGCGTGAGGGCGGGGCAACCTGTCTATCACATGAGATTGACCAATAGCAAACCACAACCACCCAATAGATTCCCAATGGACAAAATCAAGTCCCGGGACGCCCCAACATTTGTTTCACTCAAGACTATCGCAACTTCAATTGCATGCCGACTTTGATTATTCTTAGTTAAAGAGAGAAAAAGCTTTTCTATTATGACATTGTGGATGCACAATATATCGATACTGTATCGGTTATCAGCCGATTATCGGTTACGGTCATCGGATGATGTTGGATATTTAGATAACACTGTTAAATCTCAAAAATGCATATCCATGTTGTACATTATAATGTTGTGATGCTTACACTTACTTGTAGTAGCATTATCAGCTTATTGGCATCGGTTAGAATTGTAATATCATTAATTATGTTTCTACAGACTCCAACATATAAGAATGGAGATATGATAAGATATGAAAGAAAATTCAGCTTTGCGTCACAGGAATAAATTACTTTTTAAAGTATATCAAAATAGAATTTTGATTTATTTTAAATTGTAATAATATTTTTTAAACAATTTAAAATTCTTACCAACCCCTTACCGAACTTTTGTGTACATGTCTTATTTTCAGTGTGGTTTTCTCTTAATCTCTCAATAAATAACTTATTCTGCCTCTGAAATGAGTTTTCTTTTTGCTTGACATGATCATACAGAAGCTTTTTTTTTTTTTTACAATTTAATCAAGTGAAAAAAAATTGAATCTCGACTCAATTGATTTGACTTTACACCAGCCAATGAAATGCTTGTTCGCAGTTCGCACACTGATGCGCAATGGTCTGAAGCATCTGACATCTCAAATGAAATGCTCTGAGAGTCACAGATTCTTTTGTTTTAGCCCTTAATTTAACTGTCAATCAATTTGACAGTCGCATCTAGAGTGTTTCTACCCCCCCACCCTCAGCCCACCCCTCAAACACAAAGCCAGGGAGACAGCTCAATATTTATAATGCATAGCATATGGACACAGAGAGTAAACAAAAGAGGTAGTAAACGATATATGTGTTTTGGGATGCATTGTTGTT